GCCTGTCTCCCTGCCCACGTGTCCATTTAAATCTCCTCCTATAAATAACTTCTCCGTCTGAGCAATTCCTTGCACCAAGTCTCCAAGGTCTTCCCAAAATTTCTCTTTCAAACTCGTATCCAACCCTACTTGAGGTGCGTACGCACTAATCACATTGATAAGTTCTTGTCCTATTACAATCTTGATTGCCATGATTCTATCTCCTACCCTCTTGACATCTACAACATCTTGTGTCAAGGTCTTGTCCACGATGATGCCAACACCGTTTCTCGTTCTATTTGTGCCCGAATACCCTGAGTTTTCTAGATCCTTTGCCTTACGACCAACCCACTTAGTTTCTTGTAGGCACATAATATTTATCCTTCTCCTCACCATAACTTCTACTACTTCCATAGATTTTCCCGTCAAGGTTCCTATATTCCACGTTCCTAAACGCATTTTGCTCTCTTGAACTCTACCCTTATGTCCTAGCTTCTTCACCCTTCCCCGTCTAATAGGATCAAAGTACTTCTTTTGTGTGTCCAGTGTAAAGTTGATAGGAGCATATGCTCCCAAACAACTTTGAGTGGAGTCGTTCGAAAAGAAGTTTCTATAGCCCCCTTGCTCATTTAACACTGCATCCGGGTGCCGATGGAGATACAGCGACCCTTGCTCACTTATCACTGTGCTCGGGCCACACAGCGCGCCACTTACAGGTGACGCCCTAGCTTTAGCGCGATTTCGTTCTGGATTCATTTTCATAAGGATTCGACGTAATCATGGAGTGCCGGCTATCGACTACCTGACGCCCTCCCCCTCCTCCTTTATCCAGGCTTGGGACCGGCAATGTAAGATAAACTTACACGGCGGAGTTCTATTCTCATATTAATATGGGATTTATTCTCAATACGAAACTTCAGGATTGCTCTCGTGTAGAATTCTTAAACTTAGTTGACTGTAGATTTGAATTATCACCAACATATTTCGTGGTTCACCCGAGAAAATTAGATAGTTTTTTTCCAGAAGAAAGGTCAAAAAATTCTCAAACTTCTGCAAAAGCAAGCACTAGCAACCCGCCTGCACAAAAACCTGCTGAATATCGGCCCCCACATGCTAATTAAGGCTGCTGCTGCTGTTCAGGCTCAGGTATACATGACTTGTATTGGTTTCTATTTTTCTAAGTTGGTTCTATCCAGATCATGGGCGAGTTCATAATATATAAAATATTGACAATCGTGTGTGTAAAGCCTTTTATTAAATGTTGTCGTAATGAACTTACATAATTTTCTTGTTTCCTCTTTCCTTAATGAAGGATTTTCATATTATTATGAAATGCTTGTTCATGCAAATTTAATGAAGGACATTGAGCAAGAATGCATTGCGAAATAAGAAGAAAAGGGAGAAGAAAAAGGCTGGTGAGGCAACCAGCGGCGCTTGATAGAAAGGCAGGATATCTGACCGAGCGATTCCTATTACGCGTCCAACAGGATCAGTTTACAGGAAGTGGAGTTCTAGGATTGAGGGGTGGATTTTATAGTTACCATTCTTCCTTACTCGGATAGTCGGATCTGAATTTGTTCCTTCAGGGGGGTTTTTTGTTTGTTGCCGAGAAATTTCCGAGCTCGTCATAGAACATCCGCAAGTATGAGCATATGAAGTAGTATGCAGTTGTTACAAAAGAACATTCATTTTTGTCTGTTGTTCATACGAGTGATTAGTTGTATTGACTGAATCTGCAAAGAATTTCCAATATTGGAATATGTTTTGCCACTTCCTGAGTAGAATATAACTTGCAATTTCTTTCACTTATTCCCATATTCATTGTTCAATAGATCAAAGAACCTCTGCCACATTCACGAAGGTAACGCTTCCCTAATCTCATTGACTGAATAGGGTAAAGTGGGGCCACAAAAGAAGAGTATATGAGGTAAAGGGAATTGGATCCTCTCCTGAGCACAAGGAGCAGATCCTCCTAACCAACACACATGGACCATTGGATTTTATCCAACAGCTACAAACAAAGGGTCCTGTAAAGTTAGAATAATCATAGCCGTTGGATGAAAATCCAACGGCCCACATGTGTTGGTCATGAGGATCCGCTCCTTGTGCTCAGGAGATGATCCAATTCCGAGGTAAAGTGAGACAAAATAAGTGAAGAGTACAAGAGCCATAATTAGAAATAAGTACCCTTAATTATCGATCTCTTTATATTTTTCAATTTAGAGAAATCAAATTTTGGTTTGAGAATGACCCATTTCCAAGCACACATAGGTCTTACTAACATAGTTGAAAAGACTGAATTGCTTATGTCACTATAGTACAATTAATGGCTCTTTTTAACTTATTTAACGAAATAAAGTAACGGAGACGTTGGAAAAGAGTATAAGTGCTAAAGTGATACAATATAGTGTAGGGTTCAAGTGGGACATGGAGGAATAGTACATTGTAAAGTGGATCAATATAAAGTGTAAGGGTTACAGTAAGATTTGGTGAAAAGTACTAGGTGTCACAACTAAAAATAGGTCTACTTTGAATTATATGACTTTCAAATTGAAAGAATGATATTAAACAGCTTACAGAAACAAAAGAATGAGATCAAAGTATCTTTCTCATTGAAGACACTTGAGAAACGAAAACAAAGTAATACAACATGGCTTGATTGTGCCAACAAAATAATAAATCAAATTAATTAATTAATTAATTAGAACAATCTGGCTAATTTCGTTAGTTGATTGCAGAACGAATGCGGCGGATTTCACCATTTGTGGCAGATTTTACACCGATGTTACTCATTTTCACCATCGACTTTCCGAACTTGACGTTAAAATTCAATGCTTGCAAGCCTTTCACGCACAAAAATCGTTGGACAAAACTTTTAGTGGTGGCATCGGTCCATAACTTCTGCTCCGACTCAAGTATTCCGCGACCATTCTTCAAATTTGTGAAGAAATTTGCATTAAATCTACTTGCGCTGCTGATCACTCATATATTTCATGCATTTATACCATCCATTTCTAAAGTCTTTGTGATGTTTTTGTGTTAAAATGGTGGCATTTTACCTTACCTTGTGTTAATGTGCAATTAAATTTGCTTTAGGATTAATTTCAAGCAAAGTTGAGAAAAATAAAAAGAAAGAGACAGGACACTTTGTGTTTTGTATAATTGAACCTAATCCAGTCCGTTATTATGTGCAGATGGGTCCAGGATATACCGGTTTCAATTATCTTTATCCAAAGTTGCAGACCACTACAATACCACTACAATAAAGTACATCTTAAGGTTTAAGTGGGGGGGGGGGGCACACGGACAGAAAGAAGATTGGCAGACAGAGAGGAGTGGAAGAAAATAAAAGAAAAATAAAATAAAATAAAGTAAAGAAGGACAGACGATGACAGAGAGAAAGGCACACGGGATGGAAACTGACAAAAAGAGAGCAGAAAAACAGAGGGAAGGAGAGCACGGACGGAAAAAAAAAATAAAAGAAAGGAAGGCAATGCGCAGAAAGGAAGGCAGTGCGCAGATAGGGAAGCCAGTGCGCAGAGAGAGAGGGCAGACTGAGCAGAAAATAAAAGAAAAAAAAACATAAAGAAAGGGGAGAGAGAGGGATACGGCAGAACAGAAAAGAAAACAGAAAATAAAGGGGAGTGGAGAGACTGACGCACAGCAGAGGGCAGAGAAGCAAAGGAGGGCGCAGCAGAGGGCAGAGAAGCAGAGGGCGCAGCGAAGGACGGGAGAAAGGAAAAGAAGTCAGGAGCAGAGGAGGAACAAAAAACGGGTGTTTTCTTTCTTTGTTATTTTGTTTTATGGATAATTTCTTATGTATGAACATAATTATGTGTAACTAATTTATTTTGCTAGAGTGAGGCCATGAGCCTCAACATGAATACGTAAATTTATTTTTCAATTGCTTAAGTGTTGTTACATGCTTGCTTTGATATTTTCAATCACTAAATTAAACTATCTATGTGTCTTGATGATTGATCACCATTAGGATGCTTAGAAAAGTTATCGGATGCAATTTTGAACGAATGTCACGTTAAAATTGGTTGTGCTTCTTGTGATTGAGGATTGTACTCTCCTAAGGTAAATATCATGCTCTTAGGGATTACATGGTTTAACAAAAGGATTTTCACCAAGATTAATGAATCTCTCATGTTTATATTTAATCCAAATGTCATGGATAAGTTGCATGTAGTGGTATGCGTTTTAGCTTGAATGTCACAAGTAAAACATACACAAGGAAAATCCAACCTTCAAAGTATGTGTGTTTTCAATTATTTAAGCAATTGGAATAACTACGTAGGAGTGTTGTTGGTAAAGGTTGAACTCTAGCATATTATCAATCTATTTTTCTTCAATCATTTATTTTATCTTAAATTTCCTCATTTACTTGTTTTGTTTAAGTTGAATCACTGTTCCTATAAACCAATTCTCATTTTAGATATTTTTTTAACTCACATCCAGTAATATTTAGTTTCGTCAAATTAGTGTAATTCTTAGAGTTAAATAAGTTAAATACACAAAAACTCGTAAATTGTTTATATCAGTCCCTGAGGAGATCGACCTTGCTTGAGCCATTCTATACTACAAACACTTGTTCTCTTGTAAGAATTTTCTATGGTTTAACCCTTTGTTTTACAAGTGGTAAAATCGCTATCAAGAAATTGGCGCCGTTGCCGGGGACTGTGCCAACAGTTCCCGAGTTTTTGTGTTTATTTTTCTTATGCTTATGTTTATGTCTTATTTTTATTAATCATTAAATTAAATTTAAAAAAAACAGCAATTAATTTAGTTGAGTTTTGATCTTTGATTAAGTGCAGTGGATGTGTGGTGTGAGATTTTTTTTTTCTTCGTTTAACTAACTAGTGGTTGCCAATTTGCATAAATTGTGTTTTAATTCATCTAGGTTTACTTACTTTCTTTTTCTTTTTGTTGTTTAGTTAGTTCTGTTAAGTTTTATTTTATTTTACTTTTATTTTTATTGTGGCTTAATATTTCTGTTGTTTGTTCAGGTGTAGTATATGGTGATTGGAACAAGGTCCAAGAATCAAGTGCTTATTCCTTACGACCTTGAACCAGAGAGAAGTGCAATGAAGTTAGCTAGAGAAAAATATTTAGCACAAGATTCCAACCTTGGTGATACTTTTCTTAAGGATTTGTTCCGTGATCCTGAGAGCAGCACATCTATTTTCCAACCTTTGGCACCAGTTGCACACATGGCCCTAGCCTTACCTGCAACAGGTCAACCTTTAAGGAATTCATTGGCAGCGAGAATCAATGCAGTGCCAATGTGCATTATATATCCAGATGTGGAAGATGGGACAACCTTTGAAATCAAACCTCACATCCTCAACATATTGCCATCCTTTCATGGGTTGCCAAACAGTGATCCCAACATGCATTTGGCTGATTTTATTGAGGCATGTGACAACACCATAATCAGAGGTTTCCCTTCTGAAGCTATCAAGTTACGTTTGTTCCCATTCTCTTTGAAGGATAAAGCCAAGGCGTGGCTGCATTCTCTGCCTGCCAATAGCATTACAACATGGACAGAATTGCAAGAAAAATTTCTCAATAAGTTTTTTCCTTCTTCCAAGACGCTTGCACTCAAGAAAGAGATATTGGCTTTCGCTCAAAAGCCAAACGAGTCTTTCCATGAAGCTTGGGAACAGTATAATGAGATGTACACAAAATGTCATCATGCTGGGTTTGATTCTAACCTTCAAATGAACATATTTTATGATGGTCTCAATGCCACCACCAAGAGTCAAGTGAATGCATTTGCTGGATGGTCATTAATGTCGAAATCTGCAAGGGAAGCATTTGAGTTGTTTGATATGATGGCTTCTGAATCCCAACAATGGACAGAAGAACAAACACAAAGTAGGGGAGTTTTTGAGATTTCTCAGAGTTCTCCTAATGTTTCTGCTCAAATTGCTAAAATAGAAAAGAATTTTAATGCCAAGTTTGCTGCCTTAATGCAGGTCTCTTCCATGCCCAATGCCCAAGAAGCGTGCATCATTTGTAGTGAGACAACTCATGACATCACTCAATGCCCCAACAATGATAGCTACCCTGAGCTTGTGCAAGATCATGTGAATATGGTGAATAATTTCATTAGACCCAGAAGTGACCCTTATTCCAATACATATAATCCTGGGTGGAAGAACCATCCCAATCTCAGTTGGGGTGGCAACCAACAGTCTTACCAATCAACTAGTGAGACTAAGAAACCATCTCTTGAAGACCAAATGTCACAGCTAGCTCAACATATGTCTGCTTTCTCTAATAGCACCAACAGTTTTATCCAATCCACACAAACTAGCATTCAGAATCTCACGGCATCAGTGGGGAATTTGGAGACTCAAGTTGGACAGCTTGCTACCATGTTCAATGAAAGAGAGAAAGGAAAGTTCCCGAGCCAATCTGAGCAAAATCCAAGAGGGATGGAGCATTGCAAAGTAATACGGACATTGAAAAGTGGCAAGAGCTATGACAACAGAGAAGTGGT